TTAGATCATTTAAGAGGCGGGCTTCTGAACCTGCCTGTCAGGACCAACCCGGACTGAGAAGGATACATAATCACAGCAGAAAGATCAAAATACTCGACAAAACTTTCGATCCACTCGGGAATCGAACTCGGACCCCTTGCGTCCGACAGCGAAGTGCCTAGCCGCTATACGACACACGCCGGTTTAATCTATCGGTAGCGCCCTCAGAGGCAGACAGAGGGAAAGGACACAGGAAAAGTTAACAACATGGCTGGGAGCAGCAAGAACAACAGACACCATTGCTGCAACGCAAGGCAGACGGAAGTAGAGGTCCATGATCGCTCACGTCAGTCGGCAAGGCTCCGATGATAAAGGTGAGCGCCCTCAACTTTTACGAAAAGTACTTTATAGAGTTTTGACGAATGGTCAGTGAATAATGCGCAACATCTGGTCATACACAAGTGACCGTGAGAGCGAGTGGACGAGCAGGTCCACCGAGTTGTTTCCCGCTGAGACCGCCACTGACCACACTGTCAACCACAGACCACGGTCTGCGTAACATTTGACCCCATTAGAGAGAAGGAGAGAGAAGAGAGAGAGAGAGAGAGAGAGAGAGAGAGAGAGATAGAGAGAGAGAGAGAGAGAAAGACCAAGTTGAGACAGAGGGATGCAGAAAGTTGCCAGACTATAAAAGAACGTGAGAGTAAGACCGAGAGCGAGAACGAAAGAACGAAAGAATGAAAGAAAGAAAAATAACGAACGAAAAAAACGACAAAAAGAAATAAAGCGGTGTGTGGCAGTAACTCTTTTCTTAAAAAATCACTCTTTTCCGCAATGGAAACCATTCAACGACAGTAGCCTCTCCTGTTCAATCATGGCTCCGACACCGTGACCACCCGCAGTTTTATGAAGACTTTGTTGTCCAAGTGGAGGTTTCTACCAAAGACTGGAGGATTTCATGGCTGGGAACGGAGACAGCAAGTCTTTGGACCATTGGGTCTAAACTGAACTGCTTTTGCTATGTAAACCGTTCGGAGTCGCCTAAATACAGGCAGGGTTTTTTTTCCCTTGTTTTTTTTTCATTTCTTTTTCTTTCATTTGTTTGGTTTTGTTGATTTATTTCGTTTTTTAAGAGGGAAGGGGGGGGGGGGGGA